CTCTATAACTGCCTCTAATATAGCCTAGTTATTCTACTAATACATATAAGTTTACTATAGCCTGCCTAACATAATTATATTAGATAGAGGTACACAGTTTGTCTTAGCCTTCTAGGATAAACTCTGTAAATAGCTTTAAATTATCCTCTATCTATCTACAGCTTTTTACCTAGAGACTAACAGCTAGACTAAGAACACAAACACTGTAATAGAATAAGTCCTATAAGTGTACATAAACTACTAGTAGGACAACTAGGTAAAATAGTTAGCTATAGCATAGTTTAAAGCTAATAACATAACATTTAAATTAACATAAGTATCCTTATTTTTAGTAAACTACAGATACTACCCCTAAATAAGATTTAAACTACTTTTAAATACCCTCTAACTAACTTATTAATCTATATAAGTAATAGATGTAAATAGACTTATTAATAAGATCTAAAATATATCTAAATATGTTTATAAAAAGCTTACATAGGCTTAAGCTCTTTAATAAGAGTACGTAAACTAATTCTAAACCCTTACCCTTGCGTATGCAGCTGGCAAGAAGGTCTAGCTAGACGCTAGAAATATCTAAATAAACTAATAATTAAAGAAACTTAATTAGAAGAACTTTAGCCCTTTTATAGTAGCTTATATAGTTTTATTGCATGCTTACTAATTAATCCTACCTAACAGCATAAAGATACACCCTGTGTTCCACGTATTATTGCTGCGCTAAGTAGCCTCTAAATCTAACTATCTACCTAGACAGCTAAACCTGCTACTTAAACTTGTTATTATAAACAATAAACTAGAATATGTTATAAAAGACATTAAATAGATCTAGTTTAATAAAAAAAAACATATTTATAAATACCTTATAAAATAGACTAAATACAACAAACTGTTATAGGAACCTGCAAAAGCCCTGCAAGAAAACTCTGCAGTAACTTAATTTTACGCCTAATACCTATCTAAACTAAACTTGTACTCTAATAAAGACAACTTAATGCTAGAACTACTAATGTAAAGGATTCCCTTTCTAATAAAGGGGGGGGTACTGTTACAGTATCCTCTCTAGATCCTAGACATAACTATATTAGACATGTACTAGAGTATTATTAGTGCACGTCTAACATAAATATAACACAACATAGACATAAACTTAAGCATAAACTACTTTAACACTAACTAAACCTAGAACAGGCTTAATTTATACCTAAAGTGCTTAGACTTTTAAGCTAAGTATTTAATTACTAATTTCCTCCTAAACCTTCCTGTTTCTCACACAATGTCTTGTACCTACTATAATACCTTACGTAGTAATTAAACTAGACCTCCGTGAAGCTCTATAACCTTACTCGTGCACAATCGTGACAAAAACTTATTATGTTATCTACTTTTATAGAAAATGTAGTATTCTTTGTTTTATTAAGTTTCTAGATCTTTTTAAGTAATAGCTAATGCTAAAAAAAGAGTGTTAGCTTATTCTTAGCATAGATTTAGTGTTAGTAGTAGTGTGTATTACTAGTTAGAGCTCTTACTCTTTTTAAGGATTTTCTAGAACATCTTCTATTATTTATTTATGTTTATAACTGTGTAATATGTCTTAGCAATTTCTTTTAGTATACTATAAGTTTTAATGTTGTTATTAATGTGTACTTTATATATTAATTTTTTGTAGTCTTTTAGTTAGTGTGTGTTGCCACATTTCTAATAGTCTTTATAAGTAAATTAGTATCTTAGTTTTTAAGTAAAGATTTTTATTATTAGTTATTTTAAAAGAAACTATTCTTTCTTTTTTTTAACATTTACAACATATGTTGTAGCTTAGGTGTAGCCTTACTATTTTTTATAAGTAGCAGCTTGTTCTAGTGCTTTAAAAACTTTATTACTGTCTTATACCTTAACTTCCTAGTATTCTATTAGGCATCTGTTAGACTTGTAATTGTCTCTATATCTCTAGTAGAGGTGTTTATCTAGCTAGTCTAGAATCTCTTATCTTGTTAGGCCTTATTTTATATGCATTACTTTTATAGTTAATTTACTATCTTTATTTTTTAGTTATTTAGAGTCTAGGCATTTCTAATAAAAGTAGCCTACTTTTTTATAGTTAAGGTATGCCTTCTTTTTAAGCTATTTTTTTTATTCTTTATTTAAAAGTAGCTTTACACTTTTAGAGGTATAACTTTTCTTTTTTAAAAAGCTACACATATGTTTAGCGTAGCTAAGATCTATAGGTTTTATATTAGTTTATAGAACTTTTTTTTTTCTAGAACTATTTAGGTTTTCTAGTTATTTAGCCTTTTTTTTTACTACAGCGTTTAGCATGTCTTTTATTATAGGTAAGCGCTTTTTTAACATAATCCTTAAAGCTTTTTAGCTTTCTTATATAAATAAATTTGTTTTTAATAGTGTTTAAAAGTCTTTTATAAAATATTTATCTTATAGCTTTTTTATCTGTCTATCTGCAGATAGCTAGCAGTTCTCTAAAGCAGGCTGCATATTATTAGACAGAGCTATTACCCTGTTAGAAAGTGTTTATCTTGTTAACTACTTATTTTTCTTTATTAACTAACTTATAGATTATAGTTAGAGCTGCTTTAAAAAAATTAATGCTACTAAAAACTTTTTATGTTTCTAGTAGTAAAGGCTTACTATTTGCCTTATAGTTTATCTAGTTATTAGTGTAAAGTTAAAACTAAATAGTAGGTAATCTTTTTAAGTGTAGGCTTATTTATAAAATTATTTCTTTATTTATTCTAAAAGCGCCTTTATTATATTACATGTAAAAGTAGCACTTAGTAAAGAAAGATTTTAAGTCTTTAGTAAGGCTATTAAATGCCTTAAAAAGGGCTAAACATAAGGTTTTTTTAATTTAATACTAGTTTTTTCTTAAATAATGTTTTAAAGTTTTGCTACTTCTAGCTAGAAAGCTTAGACCTAGTAAATGTTTAAAAGTCTTTACTATGCTTAAAGCTAGAAGTGTTGTTTAAGCTGTTTAAGCTTATTTTAGAGGTAAAGTATTTACTAATTTTATGCTTTTTTAGTTGCTGTAGGGGTCTAGCTAGTGCTAGCAGCTAAAGCACCTGTTATGCTAATATCTAAGGTGGTAGTAGCCATACTTTGCAGGTAGTAGTAATTACTGTTACAATCCTTACTCTAGCAAAATAGTATTTTTAGGAGTACAACAGCCTATAGGGTAGTTAGCAGAGAGAGATAGGACTTAGCTAGATCAGGTGTACAGTCTATTAAGCAGAGTACAGGGCAGGGTGAGATATAAGAGGCAGGTTGTGGTTTAACCTAGCAGCTGTATAGGGGGCTAGTAAACGTAATCTATAAAGATAAAGATAGAGGTATATATAGTGTAAAATATACAAGGCAGTAAAGTCCTCTTTATAAAGGTTTTAATGCCTCTTAGTTTATTAAATAGTAAAGACTAAATAATAAACTTAACAGTAATTATAACCTTTTAACTATAGTTGTAATTAAAACTATATACATAGGGTTTACATGCGTTTGCATGCGTTGCAGGTGTTGCATGCATTGCCTACAACCACCTGCAATGCCTGCATTACCTGCAATGCTTTAGTTTCTATTAGACAGTGCACTCTGCAAGGCTTTTATCTAAAAGCCAAAGCCATTCCTCATCCGTCCTGTCACGTGATTCGCTTAGCGTGGGGCTGAGCGCCTTCCATCCGACATCGTTCGGGCTGTGTGGGACAGCTAGTTGGGTTATTACGGTCTGACTGTTGGCCGTAACAATAAATTACATAAAAGAAAGTAAATTTAGGTAAAAAAGACCTTAATAGTTAAGAATAGAGCTTATTTAACTACTTTAAAGGAGTTTAAAGCGCGTAGTAATAGAAAGAAGCTAAAAACACAGGTGTGCGCTAAAAAAAGTAAGCTAAGTTAAAAGTAATATAGGCAGTGTAATTAAACTAAGTATAACTTATGTACATAAAGTAAGTAGCAGAAGTAGACTCTAAATAATATCTTATGTTATATTACTTTATATAGGGCTAAAGTAGGCTGTTTTGCGAGAGAATAGGGTGGTTTTAGTAGGGGCTTGGCAAAAGTGGCCGGCTAACCTGTGTGGCCGGCCAACCCGTTAGGTACGTTAATTAAGTCAATTAAGCAGATGAAATTTACCAAGTTAATTAAGCAAATCGTGCCTGCTTAATTAACTTAATTAATAGACTTGAATCTTCTAGATCTTAGAGGGTTTACTATAGGATACAGGATTCTTTAGTGCGTTAGAGTAGTGAATATAAGATGAGGTAACTCGGAGTTAATACAGTTAGAGGTTGTAATAGTTGCCTATTTATGTTTAGCGCTGTATTTCTGAAATTTCTTAACTTCTATCACCTACCTAACCTTCTAACTTATACTACTTTTCTTATTCTATTAATACTCTCTTCTATTAATATAGTATTATCTAATTATCTAGAAGGTATAAATAGTAATTTATTTTAAGCTTTTAGCTAAGAGCTTAAAATTATAATATTATAAACTCTTCTTATTAATAGTACTATTAATATAGCTATTGTAGAGGATAAAATAGCCTGGCAGTAGCTGTTTAGAAGATCGGATGAAGTGACTCTGCTATCTAAGAGAGTTGAAGGCTCTTTTTATATACACCAAGCTTCGGAACATACTATCTCCAGATCCCGAGCTGCGCCCCAGGCTCCCAGCCAAGGCTCTCAGTGTACGCGACACACCCCCTAGGTGGGCTGCGCAGCAGCTCACCTGCGTAGAGCGTTAACTTAGCTTATTAGAGCTGCGCTGCGCGTTTACTCTATGTTTATGCTTATTGCCCTAGGCAGCGCAATGCTTGTTTCCCTAGGCAGCGCAGGTTACATGCGCGCTGTGCCTACTATAACAAAGGTAAATAAATTCTTCTGCTCTTTAAGCTTCTTTTCTATAAGTCTAACTAACATGCTGTGTGTAAGTTAATGCTTTTAAAAGCTCTAAAAATAACTTTAAACTTGTCTATAATCTCTGCTAACATGCATCTATAGCTTAATAAAGCCAAAAGAGCCGCCCGCTTGCGTGCCGCCGCTCTGCGGAGCTGCGCTGCCCGCAGGCCTGCGCCCACCCCCTGCCAGCCCGCGTCTACCACCCCCCGCCAGCCTCCCCCTGGTGCGCTCCGCGCGCAGTCCTGTCTAGGCTGCATAAAGAGTGCGCTTGCGGGGCGCTCTAGTAGGGAGTGCTATAATTCTACTACTAGCAGTTCACGCTGTTAGCGCTGTTCCTCTAGGCATAGCTGCCTGCCCTTATAAGCCCTATAGCAGTGTGTAAGGTGATCTAGCTTTTAACCTATTTATAGTCCCCTTATTACTGTTGTCTATGCGCGGCGCTTTATTATAGCTTTTATTACAGAGGATAAGCAGGTAAGCTTCTCTATAGAGATTATATGTTATACCTTAGATTAGACTAATAGGCTAGAAGCTATATTTTTGTAACGGCGCAGGCAAGACAATGGGTCCGAATGCGGTGGGAATCCACTCAGAGGCATATGGGAGTGCGTGGGGACTCTGAACCTGGGAATGCCATTGACACCTATAGGCCTTGTACGAAAGGATATCAGAAAACTACTGAGCTAGCTACAGGGGCGAGGTGCGACTAAATACATGAGGGAATAGGGGTAACAGCAGGGGGCGGGGCATAGTCGGGGCCAGGTCGAGGTCGGGGCCGATACGGGGGCCTTCCGGAGGTTCCGGGCGACCCGAGATGGAACGATTCATGAGAATCGTTACAATTTTAGCTTTAGCTAGTTCTTTAAGCTTTACTTAAAAAGAATATAGTAAAGGAGAAGAAAAAGAAAGAGAAGAAGAAGAAGGAGGAGAAAAAAAAAGAGAAGAAGGAAGAAAAGAAGGAAGAGGAGGAGAAGAAGGAAGAGGGGGAAGAGGAGGAGAA